AGCTTTCGTCCGCGACTCCGTCCGTGTGGAATTAAAAAAAAAAAAAAAACAAAAACTATGTAGCCTATGTGTTCTTCCAGACTATCCTCTATATCCATACCAAATTCCATCGGAATCCGTTCAGACGTGTAGGCTACTAACTCTAACAAACATCCATCCATCCATCAATCCATCTTAACTTTTGCATTTATAATATTAATAATAGTATGATAATATCTTAGATTAATAGTTTTACTGCAACGTTTAGAAGAATTTGGTTATGTTGAAATTTTATAGTTTAAAATATTTGAGTTATGGAGAGAGCATACTAAAATATTATACTTTAAAACTGTGAATATTAAATGACAGGACTTGACAAGCTTTACTCTGTCGAACAAAAAGTTCAACAGTTATTTGCTTCTATGAACATTTTTAAGTCAGTATATGTACGGTAAATGGAACCAAACATTTTGTATAACGGTGGATAATTGCTTAGTCCTTTTTTCTATAGTCAAAGTTTTAATACAATTTCATTACGAGAATTTAAGGATTGAAAAACTTTTAATACGACGATCTAGCATGAAGAATCCATTACTGTACTCATATGAACTTTATAAATACGTGTAAAGGTTTATTAACGTTTGTTATACGAACTTTTGTTGTAGGCGGACAAAAGGTTTCAAATTAATGGAACAGAATATTTAGAATTCAATTTACTTATAAGCCGGTAAAGTTATATTGGATTTATTTTATTATAAACTGTTTTAGGATTCACATTATTATGTTTTAGATTACTAAACCATATGTTTGGAATATTCCGATCTTTAGATTGGTTAATTAAACATACCGGAAAAGTATTAAATAAAACATCACGAGCAAACTAATAATATTCAATCTTGTCACAGTGACCACAAATGATATTTGTGATCAGTATTCATCACCATCACCATCTAACTATACGTCACTGAGGAGTTCGGAGCCTACCCTAAATTAGGGGGACTAGTGGACCCACACTGCACAGCGGGTTGACTTCACACATATCTTTGAATATCTTCGCCGATATGTGCATCACGATGTTTTCCTTCACCGTAAGAACGTCGGGTCAATTACGTACATATGAAATTCGCAGATCATATTTGTACATGGCGGAATTCGAACCTGTAGATTACAACTCAAGTGCTTAAACCACTGAACCAACGGCGCTGATACAATCAGTAAATTTTACTAACATTGTAGGGAAATTTGGATGCATGGATGTTTGTTACAATTTGCCACTTAATCTGCTGAATAGATCTCAATGACATTTGACATTGAAGAGCATAGTCTGGAAGAACATATAGGCTACTTTTTTGTTTTAATTTAAAGCAGACGGAGACGGGTAAACTTAGTAATGTCATAAATCCTCAACCACTGGATCGTGATTAAGTTCGAAACTTAGTCGCTCGGTTTCCACTGCACACATTGTTATAATCCGAGCTTCAAACTGCGAACTTCTACTAAAACTGTCCCTACACTGGAGTTTGTTTCTAAAGCAAATATTTTCATCTACTTCTTATATGTCAATATGAAGTATTTAATCAAAATTAACATTTGAGTACATTTGTATGTGATTTAATGTATTAGTGTAAAATTATTAGATTAACAACTATATACGGATTTATTAGTTAATTTATTATTTTACTAGCTATTTCCATGCGACTTCATCCGCGTACAATTATAAAAATTTCATTTTATTGTTCACATTTGTCAAATTATCAATTGCAAATGTCAAAATGACATGACATTATGTCAAACCATGGCAACTTTGCTTCCTTAATGTTGGTAACAACTTATGGTCTCTTTCCCATTAGGGTTTTTATTTAAGATATTTACCGATAAGTTTAACGTCGTGAAAATCTATAGCCTAAAGTCTGACGTAAGTGTAGGGCTTTTTATTAAAAAGAGTTATTCCAAAATAAGCTACGACTGCTGACATCTTAGGCAACAAAAAAGTGTGTTTACGCTTTATTATATTTGTATAGATTTATCACGTCTCACTAATGGTATACTCGTAAATAAGAAAGTTTGGATGTTTTTATCACTTATAACGACTGAATGGATCTGTATGTTTGTAATAGGAGTAAAAAACAATTGAATCTCAAGTATTAAATTCAGAAATTATTAACGGTATTCAAAAGGCGATATAAAAACAATTTTACTTCTATTCACTAGTGTTTAAATATAAAATAAAGTTTGTTCTATATAACGTAGTTAACTTCCATCAAGTAATCAATACCTAACGTTATAAAACTTCAACCATACTTATGTTATAAATGCTAGATTCGATAGATGGAGGTTTGTTAGAGTTTGACGCCTAAACGGTCAACGGATTTCGATGAAATTTGATTATGTAAAGGGTAGTCTGGAAGAATACATAGGCTAGTTTAATCCCACGCCTAGTTATAAAAATATAGACTCCAGCAATTCCTTTTGAATTCTCATAATATAGCAATATTTGTCGCTTGCTGACAAAGTAATGTTATAGACATTGGTTATTATATTACGAGGGTCGTACAACAAATATGATGAAAGGTCTAAACCACTTACTTGTAATGTAATTTACAAAGTGTATTGATATAATAAAAATATTGAAGCGATTTTATTACATGTACTAGCTTTCGCCCGCGACTCCGTCTGCGTGGAATTAAAAAAATAAAAACTGAGTATTCTATGTGTTTTTCCAGACTATCCTCTACGTCTATGACAAATTTCATCGAAATCCGTTCAGCCGTTTAGGCTACAAACTCTAACAAACATCCATCCATCCATCCAATCCATCTAAACTTTCACATTTATAATATTAGTAAGAAGTAAGATTAGTATGAAGTATGATTACAAGCCTTTACTTTTACTTCACTGTTATAATTCAATGTTTCGAAAACCATAAATATTTTTTTCTAAATACTAAGTGAACCATGCATTGTAACAAAATTGACGTCTAAATGATAACACGATACGTAAATAAAGACCTTTTTTTGCTTAAAGCTTTATTGGCAACTTTATATAACAGTCTCCTGATCATGAATTTGTAAACTTATAATTGATTATCTAATTGTAAATCTGATAGTATAGATTATCATGCTAATATTATAAATGCAAAATTTTAGATGGATGGATGTTTGTTGGAGTTTGTAGCCTAAACGGCTGAACGAATTTCGATGAGATTTGGTACAGATGTAGAGGACAGTCTAGAAGAACACATAGGCTACTTACGTTTTTTTAATTCCCCGCGGACGGAGTCGCGGGCGTAAGCTAGTTTAATTATAAATATAGCAAAATCAGATATAATTAAAAAATCATTCAAATGTATTCAGTAAATAAGGTATAAATAACGAACATACAATCATTTATTTGTGCCAAGAAACACAAAATAGAAGACCTGTGTTGAATATCCTTTCACTTTTATTTAGATTATATCCCGTAAATGTAACACGAATAAAAGAAATATTTTCTACCCAATATTGGTATTAGTAACAAAGAAAATGTTTTCAATGCCATTAAGATTGGAATGTTCCACAAAACATTTCCCTCTCCCCATTACGTTCCTCAGACGTACTGAGGTCGAGCAAAAGCCGAACTCTAGTTATTGTTGCCATAATTTGATTCTAAACAAACTTTATCATTGAATTTCTGATTCTCGTCACTGGGAGATGGAATTATTTGTAATATTATTTGTATACATTTTTGATTTATTCTCTCTATATATCATTAAGTAGCAAATATTAAGGACGTACGACGCACAAAACCCGTGCAAAATCTAATTAAAAAACATAGGAAGTAGTCTTCTTATCCTTCCAGACTATATATTACTGTGTCTAATTTCATAGACATCTGTTAAGACGTTTCGAAGATACGTAGTTAGTAACATCCATCCATTCCTTTCTACCTATGCCATAATAAAGCGTAAACACACACTTCTTTGTTGCCTAAGATGTCAGCAATTACAGCATGTTTTTGAATAATTCTTTTTTTATAAAAAGTCCTACACTTACGTCACGCTTTAGGCTATATATTTTCACGCCATTAAACTTAGGGGGTAAATATTTTGGATAAAAACCCTAATTTGGGAAAGAGACCATAAGTTGCTGCCAACATCAAGGAAGCAAAACTTCCAAGGTTTATCATGACATGTTTTTTTTTACAATTTCATGCGGATGAAGCCGCACGGGAACAGCTATTTTATAATATTAGTGAATTTGGGCCTACGACTCTGTTATGCTAATCATACACTTCCTCTCCATCTCTGCAAAAACATTGTCTCTTTTTTTCTCAAAGTGAGTAAGGGAGATATCAATACGTTTCTATTCATGTATTTCGACAGTGAAACCCGTAATGTATGAACACCCACATGTTCTCATTATTTAAATAACAATGTAGTTAGGGTTCGAAATATCTGTCTCACAAAACACAGCCCACTCGCCCGGTTTACTGAGAAAGGACGGCCTTCGAAATTGGCCAGTGAAGGCGATTATTAACAAGAATCTTCCAATCATATTAATAGTAGCCTTTATATAAAAAAGAAGATCAAAGATTCTGCTTAGAAAATAGGATTTTTTAAGGGTATTTCTTAGTCAAAAACGTAGAAAGTAAGTAAGGGTATTTACTCGAATTTAAGGAATGGAAGCAAAGTTGGGAAGAAATATATAAAGTCTAAAAATTTCAGCTGAAATACACAGAATTGTACGTGTTAAAGGAATACGTTATCAGTTAATTTTGTATTAATAATTTTACGTAAAACGTAAAATTTATACACGAATGCAAAAACAATACTAAGTGCGTAATAAATTAAATTAAAAAGTTGGTTATACCTATCAAGTTTTTTAAGATGCAAGTTGATTTACTAAAAATATTCAACATGTGTTAAAATAATTAATATTACCACATAACTTTTAAATAAGTAACTATGTTTTAAAAGGGATCGTCGGATTAAAACCTTATTTTACTATTCGAAAAATATTTCTGCCTTATTTAAAAATACTTACATATAATTCCATGTGTATTCTACGGTGTTACATCCGTATTTCTCCAAAAAAAAGTTCCAACATATATCACTAAATGAACATAAGCACGTCTCCACGCACTCGCGTAAGTGTAACGTCCGCTCGGCGCGACGACTCGGCGGCGAATGGCGTTCAGGTGCGAAGTGCGAGCGTGGTGCTTGACTGATATTCAGGGGACTGAATTTCAGCCAGTGTCATGCAATAGGACCTCCATAAATGTCAACTTGTGTTGAACTAAACAGTGTTGAATAAAACAGTTTAAAAAAAGAAATTTTTCTAGCATAACATTTTGAAGTACTGACATTTTATTACTGCTTCAATATTTCATGTTACGGTTTGTTATTTTTATTATTAGTATTTTAATGATACACTTCTTGATGAAGTAAATATTTATAGCAAAAAATAACAATTCTATTTTTATGTACACTTTTTCCAGGTCGTTTACTCTACAGCCTACGATGTTTTATAAATATTTTTTCTGTATCACTGAAGTTAAAAATGCCCACTTGTTGTTGGAAATGAAAAGATTAAACCCTATACAGATTATAAAATTAGGTTATGTTGTGTGGCTCTAGTTTTTACTAAATAATCACAGATAATTAAAAATAATCAATTAGAACCATAATTAAATTATTTAAACTTTCGTGAGATATTTTATAATTAATTATTTACGGCTTACTCACGTATACTTTTCTTTTACCGGTGACGGCACCGACCAGTTTCAGACCCTGCGGGGGTCCTTCTTCAACTGAAAATATTAGCCTAACAAACCGTAACTCGACGAGGATAAATAGAACGAACTCATTGAAATTGGGTATTTTGCTTTTGCACTATTAATTCATAAACACGTAATAAGGAATTTCTCAGGAGGGTAAAAAACAAATGACTGATCACTCATATTCTGCAAATACATGTTAACTATGAGTAAAGCGATGTGATTCTCTCGTACATTCTCGTGTGGGAGCAATCAACGTTTAATCAAGGGATTAATCTCAAGGTGATTCATGTGATATAAAGTCTTGATAGAGTGGAAGTTGAGTGATTACCTGCGCAACCAATCGGAAGCTGTCTAGTTTATTGAAAGCTCACGTTACCTATCAGACAAAAGCTATACTTACCCTTGATTGCTTGGTTATGCTTTTTTAATTTCTTATCGTGAAATTTGTTTTTGAATACGGAATAATTCTAATAGTTAAGATTTGTAAGTTTTAAAGTCGCTTATGGTTTGAAGTAAGAGCAAATATTTTATGTTAAACTAGCTGTTTCCGTGCAACTTCATTCGCATAAAATTATGAAAAACTTTATTCCCTTGTTTACATTTGCCAAATTATCAATAGCAAATGTCAAAATGTCACGACATGACAAACCTTGGCAGTCTTGCTTCCTTGATTTTGGCAGCAACTTATGGTCTCTTTTCCACATTAGAATTTTTATCCAAAATATTTACCTCCTAAGTTTAATAGCGTGAAAATACATAGCCTAAAGCGTGACGGAAGTGTACGGCTTTTTATTAAAAAAATAATTATTCAATAACATGCTGTAATTTCTGACATCTTAGGCAACAAAAATGTGTATGTATACGCTTTATTATAATAGTATAAATATAATTATAATGTCTGAAATTCACATTATCGTTGCATGGCTTGTAGTTCAACTTCACCTTTCAAGATTATTTATATTGATTTTTATTATAAAAACCTGAACCTTTAAGATTTGATGAAAAGTATTCGAGTGCTACATCTGAATGCAAAAGCTCTATCTAAAGCAATAAAAAGGAATATTATGCAACGTTATACGGCGCGAAATGTATGTTAACCTTTTATATTTCCGTTCTTTATCCAGCTTTGATGGAACTCAAGGCGGTAAATTTATACTACTTGTATCGCCAAAGAGAGTTAAAGAAATTGAAATGTTAATAAACTTTGCATAGTAAATTTGTAAATAATCATATTTATAATATACTGGTTATTAGGATTTAAACAAATAGTTTTTTGAATTGTATTAAATATTTTTATGTTGTAGATTTATTATTCATTTCTTACGCATATCTGAAGTATTGTTTTGTTAATGTTTTTTTGTTTAAATGTTGATCTTTTATTTATTTCAATGAATTTGGTCCGATAACCCTTCGTTGATTTTAAATTGACTTAAATCGTAGTTCTCGGAGTAAAAAATACGCGTTAACTCAAAATTTGTTTCAGAAAGACCTTCGGAAGTGTATACGTAGAATAGATACATGATAGTTATTTAGTTTTTTTTATACATAACAATAATATACGAAGAAATATTCTAAAACAATGTAGGTCAGTTCATAATAAATGTGTGCACGTAATATTGTTTACGTTCCGGTCAGAACGGCCGCGCCACACAAAACACCATTTTCATTTTACATGCGGATCTTAGCAAATTAATCTTGTTACCCTTTTACATTTTAGATAAGTCGAATTAATGTGTTAGTTACATACAGTTATTTATTACTGTAGAAGAACATAAATTAAAGGCGTTTAAATTGTGGACAATTTAAGTTTTTAATAACGAATATTTTGACCATTTTAGTATACATTACAACGTAAAAAGGGTGGTCTAAATTATCGAATAATTTTTAGATCTACTCACCCCTCGGCGGCCATCCTCAAGTGTGACTGCAAAGGTCTCGGGATGCTTCTGTACTTACTTTCTGCAAGATCCCAGAGGAAAGCTCTCAAATATTTGGCAATACAGCGGTGTTCGGATTTACTTATTTGGTGATTAGAATCCGCGACCTAACTACCACAAAATCGAGGCGACCTTTTCGTCGCAAAGAGACAATCCAACTGCGTGAAAAATGAGCACATACTCCAAGATCTAGGACCTAGTATAGTACAGATACAAAGCAAAAAAATTTCAAACCTCAGTATATAAAAGCACTAATTTAACATTTAATTAACATTGTAACCCAAATCTAAAGTCCGGCATTACATAAATTGAAATCGGCTCGAAACAAATAACTAAGGTGAATTTCGAAAGGTTTTCTTAGTAAAGAGGCAGCCGTTAGTTGTTAACCCTGTGTTTATTGTGTGATAATCAATTCGGTCACGCGACAATTTCCAGTCGACGAACACACAACTCGATAGCAAGTCACGCTTGAGGGGACTTACATTTTTGATAGAGTTATTGTTTGTTTCCCTTTTATTATACGTAGCGTTATGGAATAATCAATTTCCCCGTATGCAGTATTTTCTGTGGACTTAGATAAATATAGAAATGTTTCCCAAGAATATCAGAACATCTGAGCACATATTGAGTAGTAAATTTTATAACTCACTCTTCGGTACAGTCAGCTACATGTGTAAAGATTTATAAAACTTCCAAAACTACGCATGTCCATTCCCATGTTTTCAACTATGAATATATGTTATTGACCAATATTATGTATGTTTAAAACCAACACAACTTTGTAAAGTTTAGTAATGGTATACTTGTTTGTGCAGCTGACTGTACATAAATTAGAGTAATCAAAAGGTTTTCATTCATGAATGAAGTTTTATTAAAATACAAAAGATTAAATAATGTATTAAAAATTATACTTTCAATTAACATCTAAAATATAAATAGCTCGAGAATAATTTTAATTTTTACCCAAAAATTGTTGAAATAAAGATATCAATCCTAATATTTTTCCAAAGTAAGAAACTTTATAAACTTAAACAATAACCGAAACAAGCTTAGTTTTTGACTGACTTCCCAAAAGAAGGAGGTACTCAATTCGTCTGTATGTTTTTTTATCCATAAACAGTTTACGTGGCGATTGCTCGGAACAATAGCCTAGTAAAGTATTTTATTTTATCCCTCGAAACCAATGCGTATAAAAATAATTTGTTGACGGCCTTCAAACGTATTGTATTATATCAATCCAAGTGTTTTTTAAGAATTTATTACGTTTCAGAGTACATTATGGTTATAATTTAAATCAAATAAGACTTTGATTATTCAAACAACAGTGAAAAGGTACTTCTTTTTTTTTAAATAATACATCTTTAATAATCAACAAAAAAGAACTATTAAACACCCTCTGATTTTTACAAACAGAGGAGACCGTTCTATAAATTAAGATTTTAAATTATATCTTAACTTATCATCTCCGGAAGATTATAATTGCTAATATCACAAAATTTAATTACATTAACAAATTCAGACAGATAGCGAGCGTAAAACGCTGTTAACAATTGTATAAAAAGGTCACGGTGCGTTAACATAACATCGTTCTTCCACCTCACTGCTTTTTATTTCGTAATTTTCTTTTCAAAATGACCTGAACTCGACTCCAACCCCCTCCCCCGAAGCTCCGGCCCCTCATTAACAATGTGCCGCCGTACGTTCAGCACTTCCGGTACCACAAATTTAACATCCGGTTCCTTCTTTAACAGGTATTTGAGGTCACATTTTTGAGGAGTCCAATTTATTTTTCTTATAATTTTCATACCGCGGTATTTCTTTAATGCGAATTATGAAAATTCTATACGATTTGCCTTGATGTTTGAATAATGAATGTTGATGTTATACAATTGACAACCTTATTGCGAAGAATTAAGAGTACTATTCCAATACTAGAAACGTATATAACTCGAACATCAACCACTATGTTTTTTTAAGATACGAGTTACCTCGAATATATCTACACTATAAGTTTTTTTTTCCTTTCTTTTTACTAACAACCGACGTTTCGTATTTTGAAGCATTCCGTCCTTTAATTTTAAAGTTTCGGGCATACTTTTTCTTTCTCACCGCTCCATCACCTTTGTACAATACGGTCTTTACATTCCCAGCGTAAGGGCAGCTGTACACGGACGACTTAAAAGTCTCGAAGAAATGTCGATAGCATCGCCGATAAAAACCGTTTCAACTGCTTGAAACTGCTGTTGTTGTCTGCTTGCCATCCGTGTACAGTAACCTTAAGGGCTTCAACCGCGAAAGAGACCATAAACTTTGATTAGATTTTGTAACGCGCTGCGGCAACGCACATTAGAATGCGTGAATCGCGGCCGCCACCAAATTGAATTTTCTAGGTCATCGCTCCAGATTTTGCGCTACTCTAAAATTATGCATAGCCGTAGCAAAAGGGATTTT